TATATTTTTAATAGAGAGAGGGTTTCACCGTTGGCGAGGCTAGTCTCGCACTCTTGACCCCAAGTGATCTGCCTGCCTCAGCCTCCCAAAGTGCTGGGATTACAAGTGTGAGCCACCTCATGCAGCTTTGATCTGCTTTCTACTGGATATGACAATTTGTACTTCTGTTCTGAGGCCTTTGAATTGCACTCCAAATACCCTCAGGACAGAGATGTTAAGTGAGAAGCAGGCACTATTTGATAATGGGCCAGGACATTCCTATAGAATTTCAAAAACCATTTGTATTCCAATTCACCTGTGGCCAGCAGAGAAGAAGGTATGCAAAGAGAAGAGAAAGAAGGATGCAATGTCCACACATGCTAAAGGTAGGTAAGTATGACAGGTCTGATACACATACATGCATTCCAAAGTATCCCACACTTGAGGCTCCAGAAGATGGATAACTCCCATAGATGTCTTTTAATGAAGAGCCCTTGCTTTTACAAGAAGTTATAATTGTGGCTTCCATTCTCATAGCTGGTATCTCCAACAGTCACATGAGGATGGCGAGTCTCTTCCTTGTACAGAGCAAACAGCACAGCCCCTGGAGCTCACTGGCATGGGTTGTCCAACTCCCCACTGAAGGCTGGGAACCTTTTAGTGTTAATTCAGTATTTAGGCCAATATCTGGGTTTATTTTTCCCAACATACAAATATGAAGGAGCTTCAGCAATTTAACTTCTGAGAATTTATCCAATGAAGGGGTTAAGAATTTATGCAAGCTCTTCCGGTTCTAGGAGCTTTGGGAGCCGTGGCTTACAGTGCAGACATGGCCAAGTCCAAGAACCACACCACACACGACCAGTTCCAAAAATGGCATAGAAATGCGGGTAGACTCCAAGTTCCTGAGGAACATGCCCTTTGCCAAGAAGCACAACAAGAAGGGCCTAAAGAAGATGCAGGCCAACAGTGCCAAGACCATGAGTGCACGTGCCAAGGCTATCAAGACCCTCATAAAGCCCAAAGAGGTTAAGCCCAAGATCCCAAAGGGTGTCAGCCCCAAGCTCAGTCAGCTTGCCTACATTGGCCACCCCAAGCTTGGGGAGCATGCTTGTGCCTGCATTGCCAAAGCGTTTAGGCTGTGCCAGCCAAAGGCCAAGGTCAAAGATCAAACCAAGGCCCAGGCTGCAGCTCCAGCTTCAGTTCCAGCTCAGTCTCCCAAAGGTGCCCAGGCCCCCTGCAAAGGCTTCAGAGTAGAGATCTCTGTCCGCCAACATGAGGACAGAAGGACTGATGTGACCCCCCTGAGCTGCCGTCTGCAGGGGGCTGGTGTCCTCCTGTGCTATTTGTATAAATACACCTGAGGCATGAAAAAAAAAAAAAAAAGAATTTATGCAAAGATTTAGCTGCATGGATGTTCATTATAACAATTATAATTGAGAAAAAGTTGCAACAACCTAAGTGTCCAACAACAGGGAACTGGCTAAATCAACTTAGTACTTCAGGTGGTAGGAAAATATGCAGCCATTAAATGATGCTGGCAAATGTATCTACAGCCACAGAAAATGTTAGGTAAAAGAGGAGAAATAAAGCACAAAGCCATACTACAGGATGGACCCGTTTTTGTTTGAAAAAAGTACATTAGTGTGTGTATCATATATGTTATATATACTCAAATATATTACATATATACATATATATATGCATTTACCTAGGAGGGTGTACTAATAATCTAAAGTGGCATTAATAGTGATGTTTAAGAGAGATTATGAGTACTTTAACATTTATTAGTATTTTCTGATTTTTCTGTAATGAGAAGTAATACTTTTTTTTTTTTTTTGAAAGGAAGTCTTGCTTTGTAGCCCAGGCTGGAGTGCAGTGGTTCAATCTCAGCTCACTGCAACCTTCGCCTCCCAGGTTCAAGAGATTCTCTCCTCTTGAGTAGCTGGGATTACACGTGTGCACCACCACCCCTGGCTAATTTTTTGTTTTATTAATAGAGATGGGCTTTCACCACATTGGCCAGGCTGGTCTCGAATTCCTGACCTCAAGTGATCCACCTACCTCAACCTCCCAAAATGCTGAGATTACAGGCATGAGCCACCGTGCCCGTGGAGCGGTGGTACTTTTTAATAAGAAAAAGCAATAAAAGAAACTTTATCTTGAAAAAGACAGATCCTTGCCTATGATCATTGAAGTTCAATCAGGCTCAAGAATTCTATAAGGAAACAATAATCCCTATAGAACAGGGGTGGGTGGGAGGAAAGCAGGAGGCCACCTCCTGCTGAGAGACCTGGAGAAGGAATCATTTCCCTTCTGCGTTGGCCCGTGCGCTCCACGTAAATATCCTCTCCACCCAGGTCTTGCTCTGTCCTGGACTTACTCATCACTAGCTTATTACTGGCCTTATTTTGACTCACTGTTCAAACATCACCGAAAAGGAATTTCTTTTTAACCACAGCATCCACATGAAGAATTCTGCTAAAACTCCATTTTTAACTGAATTTCGGCATACAGATGACTTAAATTAGCTACACTGGCCTGGGAAGAAGCCCCCAAATCCCCAACATCCGGAGCAATTGCTGCTGGTAGGCTTGATCAGCTGGTGGATAAACCCCTTCTCCTGTCCCCACCCTCCCCCAGCCTCTCCACCCACAAAGCCCGGGCAGCAATTTGTGAGATGTTTTCCTCTCTTCTTGAATTTCCATCGTGAACTGGTTACTGTGGTTCACGCCTGACATGCCTCTGTCTCTGCTCAAGAGGTTAAAAGTAGAGAAACTTGTTGCTTCAGAGGCCACAGAGAGAGTTAGGACGAGAGCGAGCTGTGGATGAATTGTGAGATCTCATGTAACCGCCCACCCTGGGCGTTTGGGGATAGCCTCCATTCCCTCATCCTCTCCTCTGAATGGTGATTTTCCTGTTTATCCTTCTTCTCAGTCACCCTCGAGGGAAGCTCTCCCACCCCCTCTCAATTGTTAAAGAACTTCTGCGTGGGCTTCAACATTCTCTTGGCTGGCCCCTTGGGAGGGCCTTGATATGCTCTTATTTTTTCCTTGTATGTTTAAGGCCCACTGGGGCCCTCTTGACCCTTGTGGGCTGGTTACATTTGGCTCAAGCCTGAACTCCATCGCCTGGGACCAGAGGCAGGATAGGGGTGGTGGGAATGAGGTGGGGAGGGTTTTCCTACATTCTTAAAGATAATATAATAACATCGTGGCTAAGATGGAAATATGTTAGAGGAAGCAAGATTGTGAGAAAGATGGAGGAAAGCAGCTCCCACCACCCCACCAACTGATGGTGAGGACTCTGCTGCCCCAAACCCTGCCAAGACTGAGCCACGCCTAATTGTGGCCTAGATTGTGGATGTGTGCCTACCCACCAAGAGGAAAGCCAGAACATGCCTGCATGGATAGAAGGGATTCCCTCTCAGTTGAGCGGTGAAAGGGTGTGGGAGAGCAAGGAACCATGACACACCACGTGTCTCTTCCCAAAGGGGAGAAGCCCCTGTGAACCTACCTCAGGGGTCTGCTTGATGAGGCCAACCCTATCCTACTCTTTGTCCTTCATTGGACAGCAATTGTCAAGCATCCACCATACGTCAGGTCCAAGGTTCCATGCTAACTGGGGAAAGTGAGGCGATCAAGCAGCTTATCTAAGGCTTATCCTCCAGCCTAGTTGGTAGAAGAGCTGGAAGACAATAGTGGCTTTCACTCCAGAGCCCTCACACTTCACCTCTATGCCAGATGTTTGAATGAAGGGAAGATCTCCTATGTGTTTCCCAGGCTTTGTCCAGGCTGCCTGCAACGTCTGCCTGTGGGATCTGACTTCCCAGCAGCTGGGATCAGCCAGCCTACAGAGCAAGCAGAGCACCCTGAGAGTCTCCAGTGGGGTTGCCCGCCTGGTTGGCTCCTGGTCTCAGCAGACTCCTGCTGGTGGTGCGCAGGCTGGGTATTTGTGTGGACAAGTGAGTGTTCACCTCTAGTTTTCAGGACAAACAGTGCCGCACCAGCTGGCTGGGATGTTTGAAACTGGTGTTTCCACTCAACAGCACAACCCAGATTTAGGTTCCCAAAACTTTCTAAGCAGCTGCCCCCTTGGATCTTTAATCCTTCCTCCTATGTCCTTCCTGCCACCTGTAGTCTAAATTTAGTGACAAGCACAGCAGAGCACCTTCCGCCTGGGCCACTTTGGCAGGTCATGGAGCCACTAATAAGTGTGTACATGTTCCATCTCTTCAGGGCCACCCATGCGGGTGAAGAGCTTCTGGGGAGCCCCACGATTATCTTCCTGGTAGGGTCTCCAGCCCTGTGAGTTTGCTTTTTTCTTTTCTTTCTTTCTTTCTTTCTTTTTTTTTTTTTTTTTTTTTTGAGATGGAGTCTCGCTCTGTTGCCCAGGCTGGAATGCAGAGGCAAGATCTCGGCTCACTGCAACTTCTGCCTTATGGGTTCAAGTGATTCTCCTGTCTCAGACTCCCAAGTAGCCGGGATTACAGGCGTGCACCACCTCACCCGCCTAATTTTTGCATTTTTAGTGGAGACGGGGTTTTGCCATGTTAGCCAGGCTGTCCTCAAGCTCCTGAGCTCGGGTGATCCGCCCGCCTCGGCCTCCAAAAGTGCTGGGATTACAGGCAGGAGCCACTGCACCTGGCCAGTATTTTTGTTTTGATAACAATAAAAGTTTGTTAATAAAAATATTAGATGAATATAAGCAAGAGAGAATCCCAGCATCCGGAAATACCACTGTTAACATTTTGGTCTATTTCTTTTTTCTATCCATTTTGTTTGTTTATGGAATTGAAATCGCAAGATACAATCAATTTTGTTTGCTTGCTTGTTTGTTTTTTTAAGAAGGAGTCTTGCTTTTGTCACCCAGGCTGGAGCACAATGGTGCAATCTCAGCTCACTGCAACCTTCGCCTCCCAGGTTGAAGCGATTCTCCTGCCTCAGCCTCCTGAGTAGCTGGGATTACAGGCATGCGCCACCATGCCCAGCTAATTTTGTATTTTTAGTAGAGATGGGGTTTCACCATGTTGGCCAGGCTGGTCTTGAACTCTTGACCTCAGGTGATCTGCCGGTCTCGGCCTCCCAAAGTGCTGGGATTACAGGCGTGAGCCACTGCGCCCGGCCTAATTTTGTATCTCATATTCTTGACTTATCATTTTTCGAAATAAGCGGTCTTCAAGTCTCTGTTTCAAACTGTTGAACACCATTTGTTAACACAATATTTCATCATTTCAACATGCCATGGCTTCTTCACCATTCCTCTGTTCTGCAAGTGTAGGTTGCTTCCAGTTTTGCAGTTACACAACTCAGTGATGAGCATCCTTATGCCTAAATCTGTAATGACGTTTAGAATTACTTTCTTAAGATTGATTTCTGGAAGTAAGATTATAAGATAAAAAGCTACGAACATTTTTAAGCATTGTGATCTTTCATGCCAAAATATTTGTCGAAAGAGGAATCATCTTAGATGATTTCCTCCCAGCAGTGCAGGGAGTGAATAGGCAGCATTTCTTATGTGAGTGAAATCAGGTTCAAAAAGAAAAAGAAGGAAAGAAAGAAGGAAGGAAGGAAGGAAGGAGAGAAAGAAAGAACAAACGAATGAATGAACGAAAGAAAGAAAGAAAGAGAAAGAGAGAATGAATGAACGAAAGGTAAAAGACAGAGAAAGAGAAAGAAAGAAAGAAAGAAAGGGAAAGAAGGAAGGAAGGAAGGAAGGAAGGAAGGAAGGAAGGAAGGAAGGAAGGAAGGAAGGAAGGAAGGAAGGGAAGATCAATCAGGTTCGTTGGCAAATTTTAGCCTAAAGGGACAGGTCAAAAAGGGAGAAAGTGAAGTTTCACTTCTTGCAGAGAAACAACTTTTATGAAAGGGTTATGGAAATGACAGCCTATTGAGACTTATTCCAAATCAAATAAGGAAGCCATCTCTTCCTCTGCTCACCTCCCTAGGCAAATCCTCTATCCACTTCTAGAACACAGGGCTAGAGCAGTGGCACCAGCCAGCTCCTTGGGGACATATGACTCTGCTCATCATAGTCATCATCCAAAAGGTAGAAACATACTAGTAGGAAGAGACCTTAAAGATTCTCTGGTCCAATCCTTCCCTTTATCAGATCAAAGTCTAGAAGAATGAGGTGACTTATTCAAGAAGTGATTCACTGCTGGTTTATGGCATTCCATATCTCCATTCACATTTGATGACAAATAAAAACAGTTGACTTGATTTGAAGGCACAATCCTTTTATGCATGATTTCTTGTACACATATGTTCTTGTATTCATGTTTCCTTTAAGATTTGAGGGTGTGGCTGATGTCACACAGGTGTCTACAGTGCTTAGAAGATTAAAAATCTGATTTAATAGGTTTCAGAGTGTCCTGGCTGATTGGTATGCAATACTAGGGTGAATCGTTTGTCATGTCTTTGCTAATTTGCTGGATGCTCTCAAAGGAAGTTAATTAACCTGAGGCCTCCATCCAGCTGTGCTCCAATTCAGCTGATCTTGAGGTATCATGACCTGTCAGGGAGAGAATTATAACATGTAGGTATGAAGCTTTCTCCTTTCATATACACTGGGACACCTGAAATGGGTTGAATCTCAGACATATCCTTGCTGTTAAAAACTTAATCATTATTCAAAGCTGAGTTCAAATCCCATCCTTTGCAGGGGAAAAAAAAATCTATTGAACCACCTAGGCGAAAGTGTTCACTTTGTTTTCTAAATTCTAGCTGTCTATGCCAGTGGTTTGAACAAACTCTATGAGCATGATGGTTTTTAACTTCAAAAAAATGTTCACAGAACCTGTATAATAATTGTTCTTTTAGCATCTATGTATGTATGTATTTTTCCTGCCTCACATTTATTCATGCAAATAGCACAGGAGGGCACCAGCCCCAAGCAGACAGCAGCCCAGAGGTCACACCAGTCCTTCTGTACTCATTCTGGCAGACACAGGCCTCTACTCAGGAGCCTTTGTGGGTGCCTGAGCACCTTTGGGAGCCTGAGCTGGAGCCAGAACTGAGGCTGGAGCTGAAGCCATGGTCTGAGCCTTGTTTTGAGCCTTGGCCTTTGGTCAGCAGAGCCTGAGACTCCTGGCAATGTGGGCATGAGCACGCTTTCCAAGCTTGGGGTGGGCACTGCAGGCAAGTTGATGGGGGCAGGCAAGTTGATGGGGCTTGCAGCTGACACCCTTTGCGATTTCGGGCTTAACCTCCTTGGGTTTTACGAGGGCCTCAATAGCCTTGGCTCTCGCACGCATGGCCTTGGCATTGCTGGCCTGCATCTTCTTCAGGCCCTTCTTGTGCTTTGAAGCGCATGTTCCTCAGGAACTTGAGGTCCACCCCCTTAAGAGATTCATATGTTTGTGATCAGGGCTTCTTGATGCCACTTTTTTGCCATTTGGGGGACTGGTTGTGTGTGGTATGGTTCATGGAATCGGCCATGTCTGCATTATAACTCACAGCTTTAAAGCTCCTGGGACGGGAAGAGTGGTATCTGTCTTAAAAGTTCACGATGAACAAAGGATAGCATGAAATCCTAGGCTTTTATAAGGCTATATATTTTGCCAATCACAACATATATTTGAAAAATAAGTACAATAGTCCCCTTATTATCTGTGGCAGACACACTCCAGGACCCTTCATGGATGCCTGAAACCTTGGATAAACCCAATTGCCATCAGTTGAAACATGTTCTGTACATATCTTCCACCCACAAAAATTAATGCCTTTTCCATCTTAACTCGGCACTTACCACACACTGTGGCAGTAACTTTTGCAGTTTGAGGTGTAACAGCAAAACTAGTACAAACTCCTTATCATAGCTTTTTTCTTTTCTTTCTTTCTTTCTTTCTTTTTTTTTAGACAGAGTCTTGATCTGTCACCTAGGCTGGGGTAAGAGGCGCAATCTGGGCTCACTACAACCTCCGCCTCTTAGGTTCAAGCGATTCTCCTGCCTCTGCCTCCTGAGCAGCTGGGATTACAGGTATGCACCACCACACCCAGCTAAATTTGTTTGTATTTTTAGTAGAGATAGGGTTTTGCCATGTTGGCCAGGCTAGTCTCGAACTCCTGGCCTCAAGTGATCCACCTGCTTTGGCCTCCCAAAGTGCTGGGATTACAGATGTGTGTCACCATTCCTGGCCTTTATCATAGATTTAAACAACCTCATCATGTGATATCTTTTCTTTCCTTACTAAGTGGACAACTTTTATCTTTTCGCTCAAAGGAACACTTGATGGCTTCTCTTTGGCATACCCAAATTGCCAGCACCACTACTCTTTATGCTTTGGGGCCATTAAGTGCAGTAAGGCCTCACTTAACATCATCAGCAGGTTCTCCAAAACTAGGACTTTAGGCCGGGTGCCGTGGCTTATGCTTGTAATCTCAGCACTTCGGGAGGACGAGGCGGCTGGATCACCTGAGGTCAGGAGTTCAAGACCAGCCTGGCCAACATGGAGAAACCCCTTCTCTACTAAAAATACAAAATTACAGGCATGGTGGCGCATGCCTGTAATCCCAGCTACTTGGGGGGCTGAGGCAGGAGAATCGCTTGAACCTGGGAGGCGGAGGTTGTGGTGAGCTGAGATTGTGTCACTGCACTCCAGCCTGGGCAACAAGAACAAAACTCCATCTCAAAAAAAAAAAAGAAAGAAACTAGGACTTTAAGTGAAACAACATATGAAGAAATCAATTTTACCATAGGTTAATGATACAAACAATAGTTCAGTTCCCTCAGCATATTTCTGGTGACAAAACTATCACTAAACTTCTAACTATAAGCCAAACTACTCATATTAAACCTTACAATAAATGTGAGCTATGCATGTATTTAAGAAAGATTATTAAAAGCAAGTAAGATAATTATTTACCTTTTTATTGCAGTTCAGAGTCATGGGTAGCTGGAGCCTGTACCAGCAGCTCAGGGTGCAAGGTGGGAACCTACCCGGGAGAGGGTGCCATTATCTCACAGGGTGCACCCACACCCACACTCACACCCACACTCACTCATCCTGAGATGAGGTAGACATGCAAATTCACCTCATGTGCATATCTTTGGGATGTGGGAGGAAACCCACGCAGACATGAGGAGAACAAGCAAACTCTACACAGATGTCGGCCTCAGCCAGGAATAGATTTTTTTTCTTATCAACATTGTAATAGAGGCTGGGCGCAGTGGCTCATGCCTGTAATCCCAGCACTTTGAGAGGCTGAGGCAGGCAGAGCACTTGAGGTCAGGAGTTTGAGACAGGGGTCTCTACTAAAAATACAAAAATTAGCCGGGTGTGGTGGTACGTGCCTGTAATCCCAGCACTTTGAGAGGAAGAGGCAGGCAGAGCACTTGAGGTCAGGAGTTCGAGACGGGGGTCTCTACTAAAAATACAAAAATTAGCCAGGTGTGGTGGTACGTGCCTGTAATTCCAACTGCTCCAGGGGCTGAGGTAGGAGAATTGCTGGAACCCGGGAGGCGGAGGTTGAAGTGAGCCGAGATCAAGCCACTGAACTCCAGAACTCCAGCCTGGGCGACGGAGCGAGACTCCAGCTAAAAAAAAAAAAAAAAAGAACAACGTTATTCAAGGACTTGTTATCCTGTAAAATAAGAGTCACTTGAACACAAGCACCATGACACCGTGACAGTCGTCTTATAACAGAGATGGCTACCTGGTGACTAATGAGCAGGTAGCGTCTGCAGTGTGGATCCACTGAACACAGGGAGGGTCCACATCCCAGGCTGGATAAAGTGGGACAGTTCACATTTTAAAACTCATCAAAAGGTTATTTCTGGAATTTCCCATTTCATATTTTTGAACCTTGGCTGACTACGGGTAACAAATGGCAGAAAGCCAAACCATAGATAAGTGGGGAGGGGACTACCATCTGAGACATGTCTGAGTCATCTTACAGATAGAAGGATTTGTGATGCTTAGCATAACCCGTAGTTTACAAGAGGTCCAGGGTCCAAAGGTTGGGAACCACTGACCTATTGCATTTATTGACAATGAATCACAGGCCTGGCAATGTTGCTTGCAACTGTCACCTAACTCTTCAGGTCACACTGTCTCCCTTAATTACACTGAATCTTTCCTGAGGATAGGATCGTCCACTTACATGCCTTTGTACACCCACAATGCTAATGGACCCACCCGTTAAGGACCATTAATTGAGGACTACCCGTGAGGAGGACACTGACTTAGATCCTGTGGGAGGTAGAAAGTGCAGGGTCCAGTTTCCGCCCTTCAGATCTCACATCTGATTAGAGATATGGCAAATGACTTTGAGAAATGAGGTAACAATTTAATGGCTAAACTCTAGACTGAAAGAGAGATTATGGGATAGATTAGGAAATGAGTTGAACAGATGCTGACTGCTGTGAGTACAGAAAAGGAGGAGTTAGAGTATGCCACTGAGCCGGAAAAATATGTAGAGGAGGGGTTTGAGTGTGTGAGCCTGAAAAAGGATTAGTTCTCAGGCACTTCTTTCAAGCCCTGGAGGGGCTCAGAGAATAACTGAACGAATACATGCATAAGAGAAACACTTTTGGTCATTTGCTCTGAGATAGGCACAAAATGAAACCCTTACTTTTTTTTTTTTTTTTTTTTTGAGACGGAGTCTTGCTCTTGTCGCCCAGGCTGGAGTGCAGTGGAGTGATCTCAGCTCACTGTAACCTCTGCCTCCTGGGTTCAAGTGATTCTCCTGCCTCAGCCTCTCGAGTAGCTGGGATTACAGGCACCCGCCACCAGGCCCGGCTAATTTTTGTATTTTTAGTAGAGACAAGGTTTTGCCATGTTGGCCAGCTGGTCTTAAACCCCTGACCTCAGGTGATCCACCCCACTCCGCCTCCCAAAGTGCTGGGATTACAGGTGTAAGGCAATGCACCTGGCTGCGAAACCCTTACTCTTAAAGAATAGCATTTACTCTGAAACATACAGAAGTCAATTTTTTGAAGGTGGCAGTGGATGAAGAGGAGATGTGCCCTGAATCCCATAATCTCTTAAGATGTTGCTGGGGTCCAGAAATTGTTTAGGTGAAACTTTCACAGAAGAGAGCACTGATGCTCCAATAGTGAAGTGAGTTGGCCAGGATCATACAATCAGTCAGTAGCAGAGCTGGACTTGACCTCTGAGAGCTGGACTTCAGGGCTAGTGTTCTTTCCACTTCATCTTGTTACTCCTAGAATCCCCTCCTTTTTCTTGAACTTGTCAAAACAATTTATCTAAAAGGAGTTTGCCCAAGCCGAATCCATCACATCACCCTGTTCTAATTGAAATGCTAGACTGGTCTTTCTTCTCTTACTATCTGAACATGCCTTAATCAGAAATTAGGGGCAACTCCTGGGTCCTGGCCAATGCTTCAGAGAATCTGTATTGGCACCCGCCATGCTAAAACCATCGTTGTTAAAGACAAACTGCTTATTACAAAATCCAAACCACTGCTTTGTGGGTTGTGGGGATCTCAAGAGAGTGGGTGGGAGATGGGGTCAATTCTGGAGGGGCCTCCTTTATTGCCATTGATTTTTGATTTTTGGCCACAACAGAGAACTGCCTCCTCTTTTTTTTTTTGAGACAGATTTTTGCTCTTGTTGCCCAGGCTGGAGTGCAATGGCGCGAACTCAGCTCACCGCAACCTCTGCCTCCTGGGCTCAAGCGATTTTCCTGCCTTAGCCTCCCTAGTAGCTGGGATTACAGGTGCCTGCCACCATGCCCAGCTAATTTTTTGTAGTTTTAGTAGAGATGGGGTTTCACCATGTTGGCCATGCCAGGCCGAGTTGCCTCCTCTTGGATGCCACAAACCAATTAGGTTGGGGACCCTTCCAGAGAAGCCGCCTCCATCTGGTAAATATTTGGGCAGCCTGGGTGATCTGAAAAGTCACTGGGGGGATTGCACAGTGGCTCATGCCTGTAATTCCAGCACTTTGGGAGGCCAAGGTGGGTGGATTACCTGAGGTCAGGAGTTTGAGACCATCCTGGCCAACACAGTGAAACCCCGTCTCTACTAAAATTACAAAAAATTAGCCGGGTGTGGTGGCAGGCACCTGTAATCCCAGCTACTTAGGAGGCTGAGACAGGAGAATCTCTTGAACCCAGGAGGCAGAGGTTGCAGTGAGCTGAGATCATGCCATTGCACTCCAGCTTGGGCAACAAGAGCGAAACTCTTGTCTCAGAAAAAAAAGAAAAAAAAATCAACCCCAAATCACCAGATCATCTATAGGCTGAAGTCAAGCTGCTGGGTTAGTCTGTTCCATTAAGAAGTAACTGGCAAATTATCTGCCAAGGGATCTTGGTCTCTCCTGCATAGTTTTCTTATCTCACTGATAACTTACTTTATCATTATTGAAGACTCTACACCTTCATACCTCCTCTTCCCTGAACTTCCCCAACCAAGCCTTGCCCTCAGAGCCATAATTCATTAATTCACTCACTCAACACATTTCTATGCAACCCTTCTTATATTCCAGTCATTGAGCTGGGTGAGTACAGTGTAGTCACTACTGATATTGTCTACTAGGTGATACGGCTTCCACCTCTAATCCTACCTCTCACTGTGTGAAAGGCAAGACATTTGCTTTTCTGGTCCCTCTCCCTGTCCCTCTGGTTCAATCTCCTCACCTGTAAAGTGATGGAATTGTAGAAAATGGTTCCTTTTGATTCTCTCTGTATCTCTCTGTGTTCAGGGTCTGGTTAGGAGAAAGAAATCACACAGTATTTGGAACAAAAGTTTAACACAAAAAATTATTAACTAGGGCCGGGCGTGGTGGCTTATGCCTGTTATCCCAGCACTTTGGGAGGCTGAGGTGGGTGGATCACGAGGTCAGGAATTCAAGACCAGCCTGATCAACATGGTGAAACCTCGCCTCTACTAAAAATACAAAAATTGGCTGGGCATGGTGGTGCGTGCCTGTAATCCCAGCTACTCAGAGGCTGAGGCAAGAGAATGGCTTGAAACCTGGAGGCGGAGGTTGCAGTGAGCCAAGATCGCGCCATTGCACTCCAGCCTGGGCGATGGAGCGAGACTCCATCTCAAAAAAAAAAAAGAAAAAAAGAAAAAAGAAAAAAAATATTAACTAATAGCAGGGAGTCAGCTGTTAAAGTGTAAAGTGAACTCTGAAGAATACAGGAATACAGATAGAGGGAGCAGCTTAGGGTCCCCCCTAGGGCTGAAACAGGGAACCCAAGAAAGGGACAAATTTGGAGAGTCTCCACTGCTATGCGGAGACAGAGACCTTACAGAGAAGGTACAGCTGTCACCAATGAATGGCGGAGGGAGTTGCTGGGTGCGACAGACTGGGGTTGGCAGGCAAGCAGGCATCCACTGGGTGCTAGAAAATCTTGTTGAAAGGTCAGGAGATCGAGACCATCCTGGCTAACATGGTGAAACCCCGTCTCTACTAAAACTACAAAAAAATTAGCCGGGCGGGGTGGCGGGCGCCTGTAGTCCCAGCTACTCAGGAGGCTGAGGCAGGAGAATGGTGTGAACTCCGAAGGCAGAGCTTGCAGTGAGCCGAGATCGTGTCACTGCACTTCAGCCTGGGTGACAGAGCAAGACTCTGTCTCAAAAAAAAAAAAAAAAAAAAAAAAGAAAAGAAAAGAAAAAGAAAGTATTGTTGAGAAGCTGCACATGGGAGTGCTGAGAAGCCAGTCAGGATACTTATGAGACTTGCCAGAAGCTGCCTGTGGGGTTAAAGTGAAACTTGCTGGGGGTGAGTCCCACCCTTGACCACTGGGGAGCCACTGGAGGAAGAAGAAAAGAAAGCACCTGAGAACCAGGAAGAGAGGCCCCTTTCTCCTGCAGTGTCCCTCCAGAACCCTCCACCGACAAAGCTTAGCATTATGCCATCAGGTGAAGAGACACGTTTCTGGGATCCAGCACCAGTATCACTAGCAGGGGAAGTGAAGAGGGGTGTGAAGATGAGAAGTGATAAATCGATAACCAGCATGCTGTCATTCTATGCTATATGATTCTTTGAAATTTAACCTTAATGTATGAAAGGAGTGAGTGAGTTGTATTGTACAGGTGAGATATGATCTTAGCCTGTTCTTCTATACCTTCCTCACCTCTACTCCTCAATCATTAAGAAATTTCTTCAGAATGAAACCAATCCTGATTAGGATGGCATTTCACCTCAAAACTTTAAACATGCCATAATCATGTCCATATATGATTATATGTCTATATTGTATCTATTATTATATGCTTAGTATAATAGTTACATAATAACTAAACATCTATACCAAGAACAGAGGTGGGTCTAAGCTTCCAAAAGAATAAATAAAAGATGCCAAAGATTTCAATATGCTTCCTGATGACAGCAAGTAACTTGGAGGGGAAATAAGATCCAGTGAAGTCAATCTCAAACCAAATATTATCAAAAATCAGGTGAGTGACAGAGAAAATGTGATGCAAGTTTACAGGAAGGAAAAACGCCTATAGGCTGAAATGGCCAAAGAAAGATTTGTGCCCGGCAGTAAAGTCAGCGGAGAATGTTTAGCAATGGGTAGAAGTCATACGTAAAGTAGAATGAGAATAGGCTAAGATGTGGCTACAGAATGGGAAACACAGACTAACTGGTCCCTTGGCTCTGAATTTGCTAGCCTCAGGTTTAAACTGAGCCAGTCAGTTGCAGATGTGTTACGTGCATAGGACAGATGTCAGGAAGATGAGCATACGTGACCTCAAAGACTTGCTGGATCCCGTAAGGCCTTGTTGAAGGAAACATCATTATACAGACTTCTCCATCGTTTAGATGAACCTGTGGTTTCCATATCAGTGGACTGAGCATTTGCTAGTATAGAGGATTTGCTGCTATAATATTCAACTTCTGCTCTTCACATTGCTTAAGTGAAATACTGAAATACTGGCCGGGCACAATGACTCACGCCTGTAATCCCAGCACTTTGGTCCTAGCTACTCACTCACTCAGGAAGCTGAGGTGGGAGGATCTCTTGAGCCTGAGAAGTCAAGGCTGCAGTGAGCAAGGCTGCAGTGAACTGTGACTCCACTACTGCCCTCCAGCCTGGATGACAGAGCAGGACCCTTTTTACCAAAAAAAAAAAAAAAAAAAAAGAAAAGAAAAAGAAAAGAAAAATCCTTAATAGAGACTTCCTTTTCCCCTATCAAAAGAATAGGCCCACACTGATACTATTTCCCAGGTGTCTCTTTGCTGGTGAGTGAATGTTTTCCAAGGCTTTTTTTCACAGAAGACTCAGCTCTCTGATAAAATACCTGATAAAATATACCTGTAAAATATTGCATTTCCTACTTACATGGCATGACGTGGAGCTCTGACAAATAGAATGCAAAGGAGATCACCGGTATCAGTCCACATAGTAAATATTAGAGAAGCTAATTTTTTTTTTTGCAAGTTTTAGAAAGAAAGTAATTGGAAATAGCAATTTTTATTTTTATTTGTACCTTTCCTCAAGGCACCACCCCAGGGTGGTGTCTCCTGTCTCCAGGCTCTACCAGGAAGCTGCGGTGACTGCAGTGGAAGCTCTGGGCTTTATTTCCTTCTTTGGTTTTGGCCCTGGGAATTGCCCTGACTTTCTTAGAAACTCTGTTATGCGTTAGCAATAATTATTCTTTTCAACATCACTAAATGTTTTATAGCATGATAATTTTCTGTTTTCTTTTCTTTTCTTTTTTTTTTTTTTTTTTTTTTTTTTGAGATGGAATCTCACTCTATTGCCCGGCTGAAGTGCAGGGGTATGATCTCGGCTCACTGCAACCGCCACCTGCCAGGTTCAAGTGATTCTCTTGCTTCAGCCTCCCAAGTAGCTAGGACTACAGGCGCCTACCACCACACCCAGCTAATTTTTGTATTTTTGGTAGAGATGGGATTTCACCATTTTGGCCAGGCTGATCTCAAACTCCTGACCTCAGGTGATCCACCCGCCTCGGCCTCCCAGAGTGCTGGGATTATAGGCATGAGCCACCGTGCCTGACCAGCATGATCGTTTTAAGGTCATGTTGTCGTTCTTCTTGCCAGAAATGGAAGGCTATAAGAGTTTTGGAAAGAAACATGTTATTTTATCTAACAGTGGAAACATTTTCAAATGTCCATTTTCAATATGCTCTCCACATGAGTGCCTTTTGAAAAAAATCTATTTCTTATTCATTGTTAAAATATTGCATTTATCTTGAAGGCATACACTCAGAAGTTTTGTTTTTTCCATACCTTTTGCTGGGTAGCATACTACTTATTGTTATTTGCCATCATGAAAAAAGGCTAGCAAAATTGGAAAATTTGTAGTTTTGTAAAATAGAGTGCAACCTCATGTTTAAATTGAATTTTAAAGTACTTTTATGATCATGCTTCATCTCAGGACAAAGTAGTATATAGAGTCTACTATTTAAAGGTCTTGTTTTCATAAAAGTAGCCACATTAATGATACTCGAAAGCACACCAATTGCAATATGTGGGAACGTGCTGAAATTGAACAAGAATCAGGGGCTCCATTGTCATCCTCTCAGCGCTAAGGAAAGTCTACTATTCCTTTAGCTTTCACCACTCACTGGGCATGACACGGGGCTCTGACAAACAGAATACAGGGGAGGCCACCGTTATCAGTCCACATATTAAATATTATTAGTAACGCTTAATTTTTTTATCTTTTAGAAAAAAAAATAGAAATAGAAATTTCTTCCCTTTCCTCAAAGGATTATCTCATACACTCTGAGACGGGTCCCGCCCTATTTTGTAGACCACTGTTTTATGGGAAGTGTTGTGGGTTGAACTGTGTCCCCGAGAAAGACATGTTCAAGTCCTAACCAGTGGTACCTGTGAATGTGACTTTGTTTGGAAATAAGGTCATTGCAGATATAATTAGTTAAGATGAGGTCATACTGGAGTAAGATGCAATATGACTGGTGTCCTCATAAGACAAGAAAAAGATAAGTTTATTAAAAAGATGATGTAGAAAAATAGTCATGTGATTTTGGAGGCAGAGCTTGGAGCAACCCATCTACAAGGGCAGCATACCAGGAATTGCTGGCAAACACCAGAAGCTAGAAGAGGCAAGGAAGGATTCTATTCTATGGCTTTCAGAGAGAACATGGCTCCGCCAACACCTTGCTTTTAGACTTCGGGCCTCCAGAACTGTGTGATGATACATTTCTGTTGCTTAAGTCACACAGTTTGTGGTACTTTGTTATGACAGGCCTAACCAATGAATTTAGAGAATGAAGAAAGTTCAGAGAGGTAGCAGAAGTACCAGTAGAGCAAGGTGACCCAGAGACCTGGACAGGTGAGAGCTTAGGAGGGAGGGCGTGTCAACGGTTTCAAATGCATCCCAGAAAACGAGAGAACATGAGCAAAGGCCCTGGAATGTGCCTGCTTAGGGCTAGGGAATGGGAGAGGAAACTTTCCTGCTCAGAGGGGTGAGGCACTCAGGGAAGTAGAGGAAGATGCATTGGTACTAGGCACGGTGGCTCAGGCCTATAATCCCAGCACTTTGGGAGGCTGAGGTGGGCGGATCACATGAGGTCAGGAGTTTGAGATCAGCCTGGGCAACATGGCGAAACCCCTGTCTGTACTAAAAATATAAAAATTAGCCAGGTATGGTGGTGGGCACCTGTAATGTCAGCTACTAAGGGGGCTGAGGCAGGAAAATCACCTGAACCTGGGAGGCGAAGTTTGCAGTGAGCCGAGATCATGCCAGTGCACTCTAGCGTGGGTGA